GCCAAAAAATCGTCTTATACGCCGGCAAATACGGTAACCAACATTAACACTTTAATGTGTGTCCTTTTTCATATTTTTATGACTATTATTTAATTTTCACACAGATTTGGTCAGTTATGTAAGAAACAAACATCTCAGGGCAAGGGGACTTCACAGTATTTCCCAAGTGCCAGTTCATTTCTGGGACGACGTCACGACCAGTCTTCAGTCGACGTTCATCAGCCGGCACAAGGCAGCCATGTGGCCTGAGCAGCAGCTGAGTCACTGCGAGGCCAGCGGGGCTCCCTGCAGACGACCTGCCATTCACTTATGTGAGGGCAGGTGACAGGCGGGTCTGTGCAGACTGGAGGTGGCCGTGTGCATGGGCAGAGTGACAGCCCGGCCCACAGGGGGGCAGTCTTCCTAAGTGGTCTCCTATCTGCACTCAAGACCAGCTTGGCGAATGGAGCTGGGAGCTGTTTGTCTGAAACAGCAGGTCCGAAGGACAACCCTTCCTGAGGGTGCCCCCCCCCTGCCAGCTGATGGCTAAGCCGGGGACTGGCACAGCTGGTTTTCTGAGCCTGCCCCGCCCTGGGCAGGGGGCGCGCACTCCCCACCTGACTCGACCAGGACTCAGACCAGCAGGAAGGGAGCTGGCGTCTGTCTGCCTGGTCCCCAGAGTCCAGCCAGCTCCCCAGTGCTGAGAGCTGCTGTCACTTAAAACCCACACTCAGTGTTCCCCCAGTCCAGGCACGGAGCCCCGGAAACTCCTGGAGTTCCTGAGTGACGGGGCTAGAAGCAGCATCTGCTGTTATTCATGACAAGCCCCTCCAGCCACACCTGAATTTATGCTCACGGGGTCACTCTTGATGGTCCCTGAATGGCTTCAGGATGGGGCTGGTGGCCAGCAGAACCAGCCAGGTGATGAGAGGGTTGGCACTTTCGGCCCCACCCAGACGTCCCACTTCTGACAGCCCCACCCACGACTTGTGACTGATGTGGGGCCACGGGGGCTGCCTTGCGGGATGGAGCCCTGAGCCTGAGGCTCTGACACCTTTCCCGGGAGTGAGTGTCAGAAGGAAGTGAACTGCAGGACCCAGGCTGGTGGGGGTCCCGTCCACCCACATCAGACTCTCGCGGGACGCCGTCCCACACGGAGGAGAGAGGGCTGAGACGCTGCCGGCTACAAAAGGACACGCGTGACATGGACGACAGGGACCATGGAGACACGACGGAGACAAGACGGAGCCGTCGCCGGGAGCCGGTACCTGGAGCAGCAGGATGAACTGGGGGAACCTCTGGATGGGTTTCATCATCAGGCTGTAGAGCGTGACGCGGTCCGGACTCGACTCCTGGGTCTGCTGTGGGGACAGTCGGGGGATCGCCGTCAGGACGCAGGCCCCGCCCTGGCCTCAAGGCTGTCCACTCCCCACACCAGGCCTCTCGGGACACTCCTGGGGAAGTGCGCCCTGACTGGACCTGTGGCACCTTTCATCCAAACTGGCTTCGAAATACTTTCTGCACCTCCTGTCACCTGGCCTACAGCGCTCGGGCCTGGTTTTGGAATCGGAAGGTTGGGCTGTTTTTCCTCCGTGTGTTAAGAGCCGCCACTGATCAACAGGCAGCGCTGGTGCCTCACAGGTTAACGTCAGTCCTCTAAGGACTGAGCTAGTTTCTGAGTTCTATAACTACACAAAACGTGCAGTCACAGAAAACAGCTCACAGGATCCCAAGTTCAGCTGCAGGGCCCCGCAGGCAGGCACTGCTCGCCCTGTGTGGGGGCCAAACCCCACTTCAGGCTTAGCTGTGGGTGGGAAGAGTCGCGGATGGGGCGGGGGTCCAGGCTGTCCCAGGGTCTGTGCGCTGGCTGAGCTGTCCCGGGGGAGGCTCCCACAGAGGGAGGTCTGGCCGAGGGCTCCTCTCCCCGCTGCACGGCCACCTCACCTGTTGCCCGTGCCCTGACTGGCCGCTGAGCTTGGAGGTGCTCAGCAGGCCAGCCACCCACACAGTGGGTCAGGCTCTGCAGCCAAGGGGCTGCGTGGCACGGCCGACAGAGCACCGCTCAGCCCCGGGGCGTCTCTGTCCCCAGGCACCAGGTCCCTGGGGGTGGTGACATGGGGCGGGACAGGTCTTCCATCCCGCCACTGGGGCGCTGGGCCGGCGGTGGCCAGCGGTCGAGGGGAACTTTAACTTGGCTCAGGGTGCAGCGGGCTCTCCTGTCACGCTCACACCCCAGCCTGTGACAGGGCTGCCTGCTGCTGTTAAATGTCACAGGTACACACACGGAGACTGTGCACAACTTCAGAGTCAGGCTTCCGTGGGGAGGGGCCTCCCCACCTACAAACCCTCAGGCTCCCCCACAGGGTCTGCTCACGGAGCTGACTCAGGGGGCCACACACGTCAGCCCCCGTCCCCAGGGCTGCTCCTGGGTTCCCAGGGTCGTGGTGAAGGACAGGAAGCAAAAGGCAGCTTCCTCTGGGACCAGAACTCAACTTCCGGATGATCCCTCCAGGCACATGTGCTCAAGGGTGTGCAAAAAAAGGCTGCAAACCACCCTCATCTCTGGCACCGAGGCCACGCTGCGGGCACCATGGCGTTAAGCCTTCGTGATGGATGACGTCCAGCACCTGAGGCAAGGCTGGCTAGCGTTTCACCACAAAGCATTCTGAAACAGAACCTGTTATTAGAGGGTGTTGAAACTCAAAATGGGGGCGGGGGGGACCCTGCTTACCTTTAGAAATTCCAGAAACGCGGGCTTTGTAGCGCATGTTTTCTTGAGGATCGCCACAGCCGTGCTGAAGTTGTTGACATACTCGCTGTACGCGTCCAGCACCATGGACTTGGAGAACTGCAGTCGGGAGAAGGTGGGAGCGTGAGCCACGCAGCGTGAGCCACACAGCGTCCACAGGCTGCCCTCTCCAGTTAGACACCGCGCGAGACGAACCTGAGCACAACTGCGACCTTTAGGCACACTTGCTAGGCGCTGTTGCAAAGCCTGGCCGCACCTGTCCGGCTGACCCAGCGCCCTACAGGCATCCCTGTTCCAAACCATGGCAGGCTGGGTCTCACTTAGGAAATGTCCCTGACGACCCACGGCCCTCTTTAAATTCCTGCCAGTCCTCACTCTGTGGGTCCCACCTCCAGGAAAGACTGTCATGCAGCTCAGGGCACCGAGGTCACAGCCCTGACAAGCAGGTGGTCACCACCCCCTGGGGCGAAGTGGAGCCCGCCCTGCTTGTCCAGCTGAGGGGCAGTGCCAGGTAGGCTCACTGTCCTGGGTTCCCAGAAAAGCAGAGTCCCCGAGAGGCACAAACATGTGCCTCTCTCTGTGGTTCGTAACGGTCCACATGTTCTCCAGGATGGAAGCCATGTCCACAGGTGGATACCTGGTGTGACCGTCACTTAGGGAAGGGTGCTGCCATCTAACAATAGCAGCAATAATAAACAGGCAGAAAACACAGCAACAAAGTCAGCGCCCAGTGTTTCTTTTCTGCTTTTCACAAAGACACCTGAAGGGGGTTATGCAAATGTTGTAGTGAGAACGTTGCTTCCAGGTTATTTCAAAGCATCCCATAAATTGCACACCTCACCAAGCACACATATAAATTTTACAGAAAAAAGGCGAAGGTTTCATGTTATATTATTATAGCATTCATGTAAGTATATGAACACAGAAAACTTGCAAGCCTATATCCCTTTGATAGCATTATTGTCTTATCTCAAGGAGAGAATCCATTCTGTTTTACGCATAATCTCCTACATCTCAGTAGGAAACTGAGCAACACACAGCGTGTGAGATTCATAAATGGACCAAAGATAAAATGGTTTCCAGACAGCAAACCTCACCGGCTGCCGCACCAGGAGCAACACAGCAGCTGCTGCCTCAGCCTGCCTCCCTCTCGTCCCCGTCACGGTACAAGTCTGAGAAACAGGCAAGCGTTTCCCCACAAGGTGTCCCATTGTCCAGCGGGGTGCACACAGACGGGGAGAAACCTCACGCCCGAGGGCTTACCCGGGACAACCTCCCAGCACGCTTCCCGGGCGAGCCCGCCACGCACCAACGCCTGAGCACACGGCCTGCTGCTGTGCCCAAACTCGGCGCAGTGAGAGCTGCACATTTCCGATCCCTCCCCCGACCTCTGCTGTTCCTCGGGTCTTCGTGGCAGCACCCACGGTCCGCTTCCCTTGCGAATGCTCGTGACCGAGCTTCCTGGCGGGGCAGCTGGCTGGTGGTGCGGGAAGGCAGTCAGACTCACTGCTCAGACCCCACGTCCGGTGAAACGCCCACCCAGGACCGGGAGGGCGCGCTGCAGACCGCAGGCATGCCAGCCCACTCACCGAGGCCACGAAGACGTCTCCGATCATCTCCACGGAGTCCCACTCGGCCACACGGCTGGCCAGAGCGATCTGGAACATGCAATGGCACTGCAGGACCTCCTTGACCCGGCGGAACACCACCTTCAGCTTCCGGTCGCTCAGAACCTTGGGCTCCATCTCACACAACGGCCTCTCATATTGCTAAGAGACAGACGCACGGCAGGCTTTCGTCAAGGCCAAAGGATGTGGGAAAACTTACTTACGTAAGTTATGCTCATGTTAAAACACATCACAACTCTCACTGACTGTATACAGGCACAGTACTTCAATTCTTCCGAGCACTCTACACATTTGAGTATTTCATGGTCCGTATATAGTGCGTACATGTGACAAAAATGTCTATGCAAAAAGGTTAATGAAATACACATGTGAGCTGTAACGTGACATTGGGGTACCTCCAAAATCCTCGTGAGCGCCTCTACGTACTTCTTCTCACTGTCAACAATTGAACCCAGAATATATCTTCTTACAACCTGTTGGAATTTGAAAACACAATGGCAGGAAATTACTTCATGCAGATAAATTGTACTTCTACTATTTGAGGCTCGTTGATAAACAAGTTTTTGGAGGTTTGTTATCAAAATAGTAGGTAAACGAAACCCCTGAAGGCCTCTAAACTATTTTAAATGGTGCGCTAACTCACTAGCACGCAGGCACAAAACATACTTCTCCCATTGCAACAATTATATTATTTTTAACCTCAAGTTATAACTCCGACAAGTAAAATTACAGCACTAACAAGTTCACTCACATATGCGGCGTGTGAACTGCAGTGCCAACTGTCATGTATGTGCCCCACACAAAGTACATGTTTCATGTATAAATTAAGGATTAAAAAACAGCCCATGGTGACTCAAAGAATACTACTGGCAACACGTATGTCATAAAATTATTATTCCACAGTTATAGAAAAACAAAAAGCTTTTGGAAGGTGGAGGAACAGATTTTTGGGAGTCAAAGATACACCTTCGAGGTGAAAAGCACCATCAGCAAATTACTAACGTCATTTCGAGCTGCAAAAAGTCCTGTGCAATCTGACAGGCCTGCCTCCCAAACGCTGGCATGCGTTTTGGTTTTCATCACTGAAGTGCACACAAGTACAAATCTCTGGCTGTAAAATGCCTGTTCAAGGCCAATGACAGTACTTGGCATTTTCATCAAGCCTAGACACATTCTGGCAAGTTATCTGTGCCAAAAAATGGAAAAAACAGCAGAAAGTTACAAATAAGGCTGCTTCTGACACGCACATGCACGCACACACGCACATGTGCACCCCAGCTCCGCGTGCTCCATTACAGGGACCGCAGCGCCACCAGGTGGCCAGGGACAGCATCTTCCCAGAGCAAAGGCTTCCAGGTAATGAGCGGGCAACTAGGCCTACGAGGCCCTACTGACAAGCGGGTGCTTCTCTTCTCTGCAAAAAGGATTGTTCAGGTCACAAAACAAAGGCAACCTTTCTAGATACTTAAAGCAAGTGATATGCTTTCTTACGCCCAGCTGTGTCTGAGATTAAAACACAAGCACAGGCC